AATGAATGAGTCCGGGTTTAAAGTGGGAGAAATGCCAAACTTCCTGTATTTAAAGTCACTCTGTAACGGGCTTTAGGGAATACTGTGAAATCTGGTATCCACCAAGTCACATCATTGTATTAAATAAGTCCGTACCACCTTTCGTGTGTTCTTTTACAAATGTGCTCACAGGCAGAAACCTGAGAGACAAATGAAGTGATTTCTGGTTTGTCAGTTAATCTTTTAATAAAACATTTCCACTTTTGTTTGTTGTTGGTCCAGAAGAGTATTTTAAGAGCCCATCACTTAAAGTTCATGTAAACTGTGCACTACAGTTTACACGCTCTTTGTGTCTTTACTCACGGCCATTACTGCTAGTAAAAGTGAGATACACACCCATCAGTGTGTTTTATGCCCTTCTGTTCAAGAACACACACAATGATAACATCATTCCCTATTTAATTTTGAATACTGGTCTGAGGGAAAAGTAAACAAGGCTATATATTTTGGGAATAGTAGGTCTCTAAATTCTATGAAATTTCAAGGGACAAAATCAGTCAGATATGTCTTAAATGCTAACAGCCATTTCCTGGTGTGCTTCTGTGAACTGAATTGAAAAACCACAATTGTAGGATATTCAGTGTCTCTAAGATATATGTAAACTAATCCTGGCTTTATGGCCCACTGTAACCAAAACTTTATTTTGAATGAATAGGCTATTTTCCCAAGGTACCATTTCCAACACTGTTTTCCCATTACCTACGCACAGTGCAGACTTTGTAACCTGGCACCGAAGACTTATATAAGCATAATCTAAGTTACTCTTCCACTCTTATTGACGCATTCACTCCTTCATTCCATCAGAGAAATACCTACTAAGTACCAGAATACATGCCAAGACTTTGGCAAGGCAGACAAGACCTGTCTCCTCCTGGAATTCACATTCTGATAAAGGAGAGGAAAAAAAAAAAAAAAGGTAAATAAATAATTCCAGACTGTGACAGTGCCATGTAGGAAATACACAGGGCCGGAGGATAGAGAGCCCCTTGGATGGGGGAGAGCGATTTGGTAGAGATGTCAAGGAGGCCCGAGGAGGAGGCGTGGGATCTGAGAGCCAGCTGTGGGAAGGGCCAGGCAGTCCCAAGGCCTGGGGAGAGGAGTACTTGGCTTGTGCAGAGTGAGTGAGTGGAGGGTGTCCTGAGAAGAGGTGGGAGTGGTCAGGTCACACGAGGCCTTGAGAGTCACAGTGAGAAACATCAATTTCATGTTAAGAGAAACTTGGAAATTAAATATTACTCTATGTAGTGGCTTTATTCATAATTGCCAAAAGACAGGGAAAACTCAAGTGTTCCTTACCTGGGGAATGGGTAAGTAGACTGTAGTACACCGATTTAAAGGCACATTCCTCCTCAATAAAAGGAACTACGGATACATGCAACATCGTGGGTGAACTTCAAATGTATCATGCCAAGCAACAACAGACAGACTCTGAATTGTCTGTTGCTGTGAAACAAAAGTCTCCCCAGGCTTGGTGGAGAGTGCAGTCCCACCATGTGCCTGGTTAGCTGCACAACAGCCAGTCGAGGAAGTTGCAACTGTTTCGCTGTCTCACTCCAGAGAAAAAAGAAAGTTCTGTGACTCTTCACCCAGGGAGCCTTGTTCTTGAAGTTTTGTGAAGTGGTCCAGACAGAACCGTACCATTCACATCATTCATTATTCAGATGACTCCAAGTTAGATGTTACTATTTGGGCCGGGCGCGGTGGCTCAAGCCTGTAATCTCAGCAGTTTGGGAGGTTGAGGTGAGAGGATTGCCTGAGCTCAGGGATTCGAGACCAGCCTGGGCAACTTGGTGAGACCTCGTCTCTGCAATAAATCACAAAACCTAGCCAGGTGTGGTAGCGTGCACCTGTAGTTCCAGCTACTTGGAAGGCCGAGGCGGAAAGATCGCCTGAGTCTAGCAGGTCGAGGCTGTGGTGGCCGTGAGCGTGCCACTGCACTCCAGTCTGGGTGACAGAGTGAGACTCCAACTCAAAAAAAAAAAATGTTACTACTTTATCGGGTCAGCTGGGTAAAGAGAAATGCCTCATGACGCAGCGCAAGTTGCAATACATAATGAGGTGGCATTGACTGATGTCCTCTGCAATGATTCACAGCCATGAGACCCAGTGCTGGTTCTCCCACTGGCCCTTATGTGATCTCAGACTCTCAACACACTAGCGCCTCAGTTTCCCTGAGGAAAAAAGTTGTGGCTAGGACCCAGTCTCCAAGGTTCCTTCCATTTATAAATTATTTGTCATAATTCTGTGATTTAGTGACATGCTGCTTCTCGTGGGACAAGCTGGGGGTTTCCTCAGTCCCTGAAGCACATCTGCATATGTCCTCCAGGGTCATTTGGATACCATCTGTGTGATTTAACCCCATCTGCTGGCTACCTGCTATACTATTTAATGTTTTCTTTCAAATGAACTTTCTATTTCGAACTACAATTTGTGTATTTTATAAGTCAACTTTACATCACAATGGTAAGTGGAAGAATATCAGTGGAACCAGGCAATTAAAAGCCAACTGGAAAATAAATTCAATGAAAATAAAGCAATGTTGCCAATTTCTGGTTCAATACTATTGCAGCTGAAGACTTGAGTCTATATGTGCTTTTTATTTTTATTTTTAAAGAGGGAAGTATGATTGAGGAGAAGTGTTAAAGACCTATTAGCACCAAACTGAGACTTTCTCCTTGCTTTATCTGAAGATTTTAAAAATAATTGAAGAGGTGTTAGCTTTGTTCTTTGATGACTCATGTCTACATGCTACCTGATACCATTTCCTATTCAAACGGGTACGACTCCCACACCCTGAGCAAGACTGAATTTGGCCTGCATTACAATTATTTATTTAGGAGCTGATTTCCTTGCTTCCCTGACTGAGCTCCTGGACTGGTGGGTTCTGGTTTCTCCATCCCTGCCTCCCTGCCAGACGCCCTTCCTTACCTCCTCTCAGAGGGCTTGGCAGCATCTGGAACAGGTCAAGCCTTGAGGAGGCGTGACAAGAGTGAGGGAGGGAATGAAGCAAAGACAGCCCCCATCACCGGCGAGGGGTGGTGTCTTAGTTCTGGATACTGCTATCACTAAATTAATGAGCTTTGTCTGAAGCTCTCAAGAGGGGGAAAGGAGCACACCAAAGGAGGAGTTGAGGCTAAGTTCAAGTGCCGTTTTGAGACGATTTTCAGAGATATTTTGAGTCTCTGAGTGGGTATAAGCTTGCAAAACAGTAGTTACAGAGCAGTTAGTTCTGTAACAGTAGGAGCAGCAAAAGTTTTGGAGAATTTTTCTTTAAATGAAAGAAACCTTGGGTTTGAGTTTCTAATCTTCTTCATAAAAAGTTAGAGCTAGCTGGGCTCGGTGGCTCAGCCTGTAATCCTGCGCTTTGGGAGGCTGAGGTGAGTGGATTGCCTGAGCCCGTGGGTTCGAGACCTGCCTGCGCAACTTGGCGAGACCTCGTCTCTACAGTAAACCAAAAAATTAGCTGGGCGTAGTAGTGCGCGCCTGTAGTTCCAGCTATTTGGAAGGCTGAGGCAGAAGGATCGCTGGAGCCCAGCAGGTCAACGCTGGGGTGGCCGTGGGTGTGCCACTGCACTCCAGCCTGGGCGACAGAGTGAGACTCCAACTCAAAAAAAAAAAAAGTTAAATCCGAGCCTCCCCTGCAATGGGACAAATGCTGATCCCACCTGGACCACTCATATCAGAAGCCCCCAGTACAACTGGGGTCCATGGTTTTAAAAGCTCCCCCAGTGACCCTGATAGGCAGCCAAAACCGAGAACCCTGGATCAGAAAACTCACAAATGAAGAGGTAAACTTGGCCCTGACGAATGCCTTGCATGTTACCACATTGATCCCCCTTGTGCTGGATAACTCCTGGTACCACAAAACACATACTTCGCCTCCATTTTATAAGCTTTGCAAGTGAGTCAGCTACATAAACGACTACATACTCAACATTAGTCACTGGGCAAATGCAAACCAAAACCACAGTGAGACACCACCTCACACCCAGTAGAATGCCTATGATTAAAAAATGAAAAATAAGTGTGGGCAAGGATGTGAAGTGGGAACCCTTGTGCATTGCTGGTGGGAATGTCAAATGGTGTGGCCATGGTGGAAACATGGTGGTCTCTCAAAAAGTTAAACAGAGGCCGGGCTCAGTGGCCCAGTCTGTAATCCTAGCACTTTGGGAGCCTGAGGTGAGTGGACTGCCTGAGACCGAGGGGTTCGAGACCAGTCTGGGCAACTTGGCGAGACCTCGTCTCAACAATAAAATTTTAAAAAATTAGCCGGGCATGGTAGCGCATGCCTGTAGTTCCAGCTACTTGGAAGGCTGAGGTGGAAGGATCGTTGGAGCCCAGCAGGTCGAGTCTGCGGTAGCTGGGTGCGTGCCACTGCACCCCAGTCTGGGTGACAGAGTGAGACTCCAACTCAAAAATAAAAAAAGGTTAAACATATCACTATCATATGACCCTGCAATTCCACTCCAAAGTATCCATCCAAAAGAATTGAAAATGGGGACTCGGCCGGGCTCGGTGACTTAGCCTGTAATCCCGCGCTTTGGGAGACCGAGGTGGGTGGATTGCCTGAGCCGGCGGGTTTGAGATCCGCGTGGGCAGCTAGACCTCATCTCTACAATAAATCAAAAAATCAGCTGGGCGTGGTAGCGCATGCCTGTAATTCCGGCTACTTGGAAGGCTGAGGCGGAAGGATCGCTGGAGCCCGGCAGGTCGAGGCTGCGGTGGTCGGGAGCGTGTCGCTGCACTCCAGTCTGGGCAACAGAGTGAGACTCTAACTCAAAAAAAAAAAAGAAAGAAAATGGGGACTCAAGCCAGTAGACAAGAGGAAGAAATAACTTGTGTCTATCAGCAAATGAATGGATAAACAAAATGTGACCAGTACGGCCAGGGAGGTACCAGCTGCTGTGCAGGGAGGAGGCCAAGGCTGCAGCTTGAGGAAGGCCCCTAGCCCCTCTGCGCCTGTATCTGGCAAAGATGATGTGAGATGAGACACTCCTTCCCCACCACCTGGATAATCAGGAGTTTTGCCCAGACCTTTGAGCACACACCGAGATAGTGAGGAGCCAGATGAAAAACACAGATTATAGCGCTGGAACAGATGAATAAGGAACTCGGTGATTTGGCCTGTGACTCTCCAGCACAAAGTTCTGCAGATCCTGTTGGGGATGATATGTTTCACTGGCAAGCCACAATTATGGGACCTAATGACAACCCATATCAGGGAGGTGTATTCTTTTTGACAATTCATTTTCCTACAGACTACCCCTTCAAACCACCTAAGGTTGCATTTACAACAAGAATTTATCATCCAAGTACTAACAGTAATGGTAGCATTTGTCTCGATATTCTAAGATCACAGTGGTCTCCTACTTTATTTCTTTTATCCATTTTTTCACTGCTGTGTGATCCAAGCCCAGATGACCCCTTAGTCCCAGAGATCACACGGATCTATAAAACAGACAGAGATAAGTACAACAGAGATTCTTGGGAATGGACTCAGAAGTATGCCATGTGATGCTACCTTAAAGTCAGAATAACCCACATTATAGCTGGAATAAACTTCAAATTACAGTTCCTTTAAAAAAATGTGTCTATACACACAATTATTTAGCCATAAAAAGGAATAGAATATTATTCAGCTGTAAAAAGAAATACAATTTTGATACACATACCACCACAAAACAGGTGAACTTCAAGAATGCTATGCCAAGTGAAGTAAGCCAAACACAAAAGGACCAAAATTGTATGATTCTACTTACATGAGATCCGGAATAAGCAAATTAGTACAGAAAGTAGAATAGGATGCCAAGGACTGGAGGAGGGGCAGTGGGGAGTTGGTGTTTAAGGGGTACAGAGTTTCAGTTTGGGATGATAGAAAAGTTCTGGAAATGGTTAATGGTGATGGCTCCATGAATTGCAAATGTGCTTAATGGTGTTGAATTGTACAATTCAAATGGTTGAAATGGTAAATTTTATATTGTATGCTTTTATCGCAATTTAAAAAAAAGCGCAATAGACTGAAAAAAAAAATGCCAGCTACAATGGGCCTCCCTAGGCCCGGGGAGATCTTTGCAAACTCCACAAGGAGTAGACCCATAAACCCGGAGCAGAGGAAGAGCTTGTGCCCCTTGGGATCCAGTCCCGGGGGTGGTGGGCTGCTCTCTCAGTCTCAATAAAGTACTAAGAGCAATAGCGTCCATCTACTTGGTGCATGGTATGACTAAATGAAATATGTGTTCACACTGCATGAACAAGCATATGTAAATATGGAAAGCACTCGACACAGTGGCTGGGATACAGTAATTGCTCAATAACAGCTTTGGCATCACTATCATCATCATCCATGCCCACAGTGACGTGTCTACCTTGACTGCAATCTCCATTCAATCAGCAGGGTGTATTATGAGGCCGATGAAAATGTTCTGGAATTAGTGGTGATGGTGGCACAATCTTCTGAATATACTAAAAACCACTAGATTGTACCCTTTTAGAGGGTGGATTTTATGGTATGTAAATTGTATCTTAAGTCAGGTTATACAGTCATATAAAGTTTTCCATAGTGTAGACACGTGATTGAGTGTAGGGAATACATATTTGCTAAGCGACAAAGTCATGGCCACTGCACTTGAGGCCTATTTTCTGCCATAGCAAAGGTTCAAGTGCTGACAGTTTGGAAGCCTTCTCCTGGTGGTGTCAGCGAACTCAGACACGTGAGCCCCAGTCACCTCCATTCTCTCAGGTGAATGAGAAGCTGCAGTGTGGACCCATCATCTCACAACACCTGTGAAAACCTCCCCCGACCCCCAAGCCCTGCAGAAAAGACATCATGCCTGCTCAGCCACCCATGGAGGCCGATGCCTGCCACAGATGCACTTGGCTGGAAGGGCGGCCACCCTGAGTCTGAGGACTCCCCTGAACCAGGCAGCGACATCAGCAGTCACAGGGGTGTCCACACCTGCCTGCCAGCAGGCACTGTGCAGGACATGTGACTTGTGTCCAAGGACGAAATCCAAAGACCTGGGACCAGCTGCCTGTGCCTGTCTCCGCCCCAGCCTCAGGGCCAGCTGGGTCTGGCTCCTTCATCACACACTGAAAGGGAGGCGTGGAGTCTGGACTTTCCCATGACCAACTCCAACAAAACTCCCCTAGGGAATAGGGAGTCCTGATGAAGTAGAATCTGGCTTGCTAACACCCCAAAGCCTGTAATCTCGCCACCCCCTGCCATCCTTCACACACACGGCCTCTAGCTTTTGTATTGCTCCCTTCTGGAAGCCCTCTTTACCTCAGACATCTGGATAAACCTGAAGGGCAAAAGGGACGGAGGAAGACTGGCCACTAACCAGTTCTTCCAGCCTCCATGTCCTCACTTCTAACCAGAGGCTACTACTGACCCTGAAGGACAGCTGGGAGGAGGAGGTGGGACCATGCAATCACCTTGGGGAGGGTTCGGCCAACTCCAAGTCAATGCTCAGAAGGGGCGCCTGCTTCCTGCTGTCCATGAGAATGGGCAGCACCTGCTTGGGCAGGTCATGAGGTCAACACCTACTTGGGCAGTGCCCACAGTTGGCAGTGGCTGGGCATGGCACTGGGGAGCATTTCCCACCTGGTGCACAGAGGCGCTCAAGCCTGGGATCCAAGCTGACTGCAGGACGTGCCCTCCCCACGTCCTGGGCAAGCGGGAGGGCTGGGTGCAGGTGGGGTACTTGGCAGGTGCTGTGGGAAGAGGGAAGCTGCAAGTGGAAGGTGGCTTCTAAGGTTTCTCCCAGAAACCAGAGACCCTGAAATTCTAGGAATGAGTCTGAACCGTTTCCTTCAGGGGTGGGAGATGCAATTCCTGCCCATAATGATTGTGTGATCTAACAACACAACGTGAATCCGTCAAGAGTATAACTGATGGAAAATGTGTGGGCTCTCTCTCCAGAGGAAGAAAGCACCACCAACATTTCAGCCTGAAGATAATCTCTGAGGCCCAGATATAGGTATTCAAAGAAAAATTGGGCAAAACATAAAATCTTCAATGCTATCATGATTATTCAGGAAAGATGATAAGCTTTAAATACTCAGTTTATTGTATGCTCATCACGCCTCAATAAAGCACTAGACATTTACAAAGTAAGACATTTATGAGCTGCCTGCCTCTTGTAGTTTACGCGTGAGGTCTCATTTCCTTCTTGAAGCAGGGAGGAAGGGCAGGTGTGACCCACACAGGAGGGGCTGAGGATCCTCGTGCTCAGGGTGATTTGTTGGCGGTCAAACAGGCATAGCGGTGGAGCTTGGGCTCTGCTTCTTGCCTCTATGAAGTTTCCACGATTATGCATGAGCCTTTTGTGGGCTGGATGGTGGGGAAAGTATCAGGGAAAATCACAGCAAGAGTGTTAAGAGAGGGTTCCTGTCTGGGATTTGGCCCCCAACTCGCTGTGTAACTCTGACCAGCTGACTTTACTCTGGGTTTCAGTTTCCCCGTCTGTCAAATGGGGCTGAGAAAGGTCTCAAGGACCTTCACACAGAAGACCTGTGAATAGTTTTCCTGATTTTAAAAACAATGTAGCCTCTCCTTCCCACTTCAATACTGAAAAGAAAGACCCATCTCCTTTCCCAAGTTAAGTGGCACTTTTCCCTTCTGGTTATAACTTTGATTCTGCTCTGAAATCAACTTACTGCTTCTCTCTTTCAGGATCCTAAAGTTGAGTTCTCAAATTCCAATGTCTTGGTTATTAAAATGCTAGTGAATTATGTTTATACAAATCAAATCATACTTTTGGCTTTAATACGAAAAGGTTTAAATACCTGGGTTTGTGTGTGTGGATGAGTGTGTGTTTTTAAGAAAAACGACGAATATCAGCCCTTAGAAAAATCAGCTCACTTTGAGACCTCCGTGGCATTATTGCCTCCTTTAATATTGCTGACAGTCTCTTGCAAATGTATCACAAGTTGGCATTTATTAGTGCGAGGCACAAGTAAGGGGCATGTTATTTGATTTGAATAACAGCTCGGAGCTACAGTTTGAGTCCAGAAATATATTAGTCAGAAACAATCTCATTTAATAACACAGAAACTAATAAAAGAAAAGTATTCCAACTGATTCAGAATTGAATTTATGAATATTGCTTTAGCAGGATTAATGATCAAAACCCCAACCTGTTTGTCACGTTATAACTGACTTTTCCATTTAAATGCAAAACCAGAAGTCAATGAGTCCAAAAGATTGTATATTGCTTTGAAGAAAACCAGTTCATTTTACATGTAAGCTTCTAAATTGGCAATAAACTTTAATTACAGGGTCAGATAATCAAATTATAATCAAATAGCCTCACATAAAAATCTATGTTTGAAATTAATGAGACACAAGCCTGCCACTTGGTATCACTGCACCTCTGTAACTTACTAACAGACATTTCATTTTCATTTAAAAGTCACCTTAAGGACTTTCTCCTCAATTTCCACTGTGTAGCTTAATTTGATTTAGAAAACATTTCATTCTTAGACCATACAGGGCTTTGAATTTCCATATTCAGCTCCACATGTGACCCCCCCCATCCTGTCATCTTGGGGGAGGTCTGCTTTATAATTGATGATGGGTTTCCAAACCAACACGATTGTAAACCTTTCCAACCGAGAGGTGAGGATCTGTGCTGGGACAAACTCTCACCCTGGTGTCAGGTATCGTCTAACAGAGGCAGCATCCCATACCATGGAAGCAAGTGGCCTGGAAAATTTTGCCAGAGGAAAGAAATGCATCTGGCTTAGAAAAACTTAGATTATTTTGAAATCAACAAGTATACTGACAAATGAATGGCATTAACACTTATTTATCCCTGCTTCATTGTCTTATTAGATATGAACAAGTAGAGCACTAAGTTGTGCTTTAAGACCTCTGTATTATATCTTTAAAAGTGATTTATTTGCCTTTTTCAGTAGCTTTTTTTTGAAATGATGAAGAGGCAGCTGCTGGGGCTCCCTTTTCCTGGCAAGTGGGTGAGCAGTGAACGAGTGTGAAGAGTAAGGAGCTAAGAAACCTGTCAAGGGGAATTTCAAGTGGACATGCTTCTGTCACTTACATGCTTTCTTTTTCTAAAGATTGGACTTTTTTTTTTTAGCTTTTCCATAGTATAAAATAAATGGGGTGCAGAACATCTGACAGATAAAAATACATTTTTAGTATAAGTTTATCCCGAATATTGCCTGGGATATACTTATACTAAAAGAGTCACTCTCTCCTTGTTTATCTGCGATTCAAATGTAAGAGGACATCTTGTATTGTTAGTTGCTAAATTGGCAACCCAGTCTGTAATAATTATGATAATAAATGATCTTTTCAGTGCTCAGAGCTTGATTTCTTCTAAGACATTAAAGGATTTCATGGTGATTAATTCAATACTTCCCAAATTTGTCAATGATCGGTCAATCATAAGAATCAGCTGGCAACTTTTAAAAACTACAGACCAGGTGTGGTGGTTCACGCCTGTAATCCCAACACTTTGAGAAACTGAGGTGGGGGGATTGCTTGAGCCCAGG